CACATGTGATGAAGAAAGTCATTTACATGATATTCAAGGAGAACAAAGGTGTTCAGCACCAAGAACAAGCCCTCCTCCTCCTCCTGACTCCCAATGGGCCCTGTAAGATGCGACCATTAAGATCCTTTCCTTCCAGAAGAATCCCTGCAGGTACAGGTGTAGAATTCCCCTGTGGCACCTTTTATTTCCCCCCACCTTCTGGTGTATCTGGGGACTGATTTCTTACCTGTGCATAGAGATGCACTCCAGGCTTTGTAGTGACACAGTTCATCGTGAAGATGGGTGAGGTTTCAGCGGACACCGGGAGACAGGATTTGGGGTACTGGACTGTTAGTCCAGGGAACATCCTACTATGACCCCTTCTTACCATGTTGTGGGTGGGTGTCCTCCCTCACCGACCCACCCCCCGCCTCCGGTTCCAATGGTCAACTTCGCAAGGCGCCCAGACATTTTTACCAACCCTCTTCTGTCATTTCTCTGTTGTTTTTTTGCTTGTTTGTTTGTTTGGGTTTGGTTTTAGAAGCTAAAGCTTTTAAAGACAAAGTGTCTTTTCCTAAGTCATCCGTAGATTCTTGGGAGATCAGCAGAATCCTGGGAAGACCCATAGTCACCGTTTAGCCCACGGGGTAGGGTTCACTTTTATAGCAGTCACACTCGAAAGAGTAGAAGGTGAGGACGTGGGCGGCGGCTCAGTGGGAGAGCGCTTGCCTATGGGCCTGAGGCCCAGAACTAAAAAAATAAAGGGCGAGGGAAATCCATTTTTTTTTTTCACACAAAATTCTGCTTAGCCCCGTGCGTCCCAAGCAGTGTCACTTCAACCTGGGATCAAGACCCGAAAACTTTCCCCACTCTTTTCCTCACACTGATCTTTGAGCCAAGCCCTTACAGTGCCTCTCAACCACGGTCGGGCTGACCAGTCCCAGCAGAGGGGCTCCATGGTCTCCTGAGGCCAGTGGCCGCCATATTGGACCGCGTGGCCCTGGGCCATGGAGGTGCAGCGGGTCCACGTGGAGGGAGCCCCTCGGTCCTCCAGGCCTCTGTTCCTCGTTTGGGAATGAGGAAGCCGGTCCAGAGGATCTCAGCGGCTTCCCTTCGTCCTAATCTTCATCCGGCTTTCAGTGCTAGAAATGGAAAGCCATGACAAACCAGGGCGAGCGGGTGTCCCAGAGAAGCTTAATCTCCTCATCTGTGAAACGAGGAGCCACCGAGTGTGACCCTGATCGGGGTGAGGACGAAAAACGGAGCAACAGATGCGGAAGCACTTTGGGGAGGCGAGGGAGGGAGGGAGGGAGGAGGGAGGGGGGCCCAGTGCCATGGATTGCCATCAGGATTACGGTTGACAATGGGAAGGAACCCTCAGCATCTACTCACGGGGACCTGGGCTACCAATTTCCTCAGTTCACATCGCTGAGCCTCAGGCTTCCATCAGACACCCCTGGCCCCAAGTTCTGCCCACAGTACAGCACTCAAACATGCTGGTAGTTCCCCAGTTACAGAAAGGAGGCCCAGAGTGGGCGATGGCATGCCCGGGGTCACACAGCAAGGAGGTCTCATCAGACGCTGGCCTGTTTGGGTCCTGCCTTTCCACTGGCACTCGCCCCACCCCTCTCCTCAGCCACTCATTTCCTCGCAGGAAGGTAAGTGAAATAAATATACCCGAAACCGCTGAAGTACTCGAATGAGGCTCGGGGCCAAGGATTGTTTCCATGGTAGATACTCTGGCGTGCGCGTGGGATTTGTTGAAAATCCCAGCTCCAGAAGCAGAGGCGGGTTGGCAGGCTGTTCTAGCCAGCTTCGTCACCTGTGGTCGGTGACCGCCCCCAAGGTGAGACCAAGGTGGGATTCCTTTGTGTGCCTTCCAGGGAAAGACCCCCCTGCAGACCCCAGTGGAGCAGAAAGTGACCGGAATGAAACCCAGGAAGCCCAAATCATCTCATCTCTCCTAACAATCACAGGAAACCGCTTCTCTCAGTGTTGACCCTGTGACGTCGTCACGTTTCCTGCGTTTGGGGCTTTCTTTGAATCCTCCCAGTTCCCCAGATGAGTGGTCACTGCTGATGGCCCCATTTTACAGATAAGCAAATTGATGGGGGGGGAGCAGATAGAGAACTCACCCAGAGACAGAGACAGCCAGGAAGGACCTTGCAAAGCCTCCTGGTGGCTGGACGGAGGCCCGAGAAGGCTCCCGGGTTCCAGGCATCCACCAGCTGGGACCAGGGGGGTGACCTGGAGCAGCTTGGTGGATGGATCTGGATGATGGTCACCGGCGACCCTGACCGTGGTCAGGATGAGATTGAAACATGAAGAAGAGACACGGAGTATTGTGGAATTGTTACTAAGAAATGGGGAGCGCTCGGAATTCATAGGTCAGATTGTGGGGTGTGCATGTGTGTGTGCATGTGTGTGTGTATGTGTGTGTGCATGTGTGTGGTGCACATGTGCAGACACTGAATATCCCTGACTCTCCAACTCCAGCATCTTCCCCAGTTTCCCAGAGGATCGACTTCCTCTCCTAGTGCCAAGACCTGAGAGGTCAACAGCAACCCCATGTCCCAAGCACCAGCCAAGAGCCCAGCCCGATTCTAGAAGGCTCCCGAGGAGACAATAAGAGAAGGAGCCCAGAGTAGCTCTGACATGCCGAGCGTGGGTGTGCGTGGGTTGCTTGATTTCTGTTTTCTTTTTTCCAAAGCAAAGGACACAGAAGACCAAGTCCAATCTCTGTCCCCTATTGAGGTCTGACCCAATCCAGCAACTGGAAGAAATAGGCTTAGGGGTCTTGCCCCTCTCCCCACCCCCCAAAAAAAACCCCACCTTCAAATTCTTTTTTTCCTTAAAGAATAGAGCCCAGTGTCCAACACGAACACCTGAGCGCTGCCGAGGTCCCCGCTGTCTCTGTCCCCACTAAGCAGCCAGCATCTTGGATTCGGTCCCCAGGAGGAGAACTCAGGAAGGAGGAGAGGGTGGGGGACCCTCCAGGGGAAAAGGGCATGGTGACGTGGGGTGTCTTCCCTGCACACCAGAGCCCCGGCAGAAAGAGGCTGAAAGACACTCCGCTGGTGGACACACGGCCACACACAGCCAACAAGGGACGCAGCGTGAGGTCGATGCATGAATACACACAGAGCCACACACAGGACACCAGATGGAGGTGGCTGGGCCCAGGGATGCGCCACTCCTCGCCCACACGGGCCAGCGGGTTATGTAATGTAATGCTCTCTGCGGCCGAGCTAGCCACCCTCCCTCCAGGGGAGGCCACCGCCTCTGGGGGGTGGGGTTCTCTGTACCCACCTCCTGCTCTTAGTGCCTTAGCCCTGGGGTGACCCCAGCAAGTTGCTAAAAGGGAACCAAGTGTGTCAGTTTGCTAGTAGTGGCAGATGGGGGCTCCCCCCTTGTGCTAAAATGTGGTGAGGACACAGGTGGGGGGGGTGGCATGGAGCCAGACCTGGAACTTGAGGGTAGAGAAGGAGACCAAGGGGCGTTCTGATGCCCCCAACCCCCCCACAGATCTCCTGCCCCAGCCCAGAAGGGGCAGTGGACACATTGCTTTAGTGCCCTTTTTCCACCGCTGTGAGTGATTTTAGAGGAGGAGAAGTGTACGGTGTCTGGAGGGGAGTCCTGTACTGATGAGGTCGAGACTCCCAACCCAAACAGCTCACCCCTGAACCTTCTCGCATCATCTCACACGGGAGCCTCTGAGGGGGACACCTCACGTCTAAACCCTCACACACGTGGACACGGAGACCCAAAGACGCAGCCCCCTGTGGACACACCATGGGGTGGGGGGTGTGCTCACCTGAGCCACGGCATCTGCAGCCCTTGGTACCCCAGCCACACCCCACACTGCTCAGCAAGGGGGGATCCCTCACTTGAGAATCGCCAGTGTTTCAAAGAGTGAAACCGAGACTTGAGAGAATAACTAGAAAGTCAATTTAAAATGATTAGCATGTAAGTTTCAGAACTCAGGCTCCAGGGTGAGGCTGCCCGATTTCCAACCCTCCCTCTGCCGCCGTCTCCTGAGTGGTCCTGAACAAAGATCTGAACCCCCTCTGGCTTCGGCTTGCACATCTATCGAGGGGTGATCACAAGGGTCAAAACAGGAACTTACGCAGGTCAGGAGCGTCAGTGCAATAGCTGCCATCGTATTTCGTCTTGCGGGGGGAGCTTTTCTTCCTCAATCAGCGAGGATTCTTTGAGCGCTGAGATGTGCCCCGAGATCCCCAGGGTTACAAAAGCCTTGGGGACTGATTGTGTTTTAATAGGGTCACGTCTCCGTCTTTGAAATTAAAACAAGCTAATCATTATAAAAATGGTCCCAAAGGTCGGCTGGCATCCCCTGTCCCTGGGTCCGTGGGAGGTGGTATCCTTCTTCTTCGGGTGGGTTTGTGGGGGGCAGTTTGTGGAAGGGCTGGAATGAGGGGCCAGAGAGCCCCGGCCGCCGAGCTCCTGGGCTTTGCTGACAGCCACGTGGCAAGTTGGAGTGACGGCTTCTGCGTCGGGACAGAGATAAGGGAGGTCCTGTGAGTCTTCCCATTTGCTTTCTGACTGTCCCCCATTTCCCCCAAGGAGACCCTCGGGTGGCTGAGGGCTTCCATCTTGGAGGTGAAACCAGACAGCTTGCAGCTCATGGGGGAGACTGTCCCCTCGAGGACCAAGGTTCCACCTCTAGGTTGGCTTCAGAGCCCCAGGTGTCTGGGCTAGACTGGACGCTGGTCTGCGTTGTCACCCTCGTCTTGAAGGTGGGGTGGGGTGGTCCCTTGATCTCTTCATCTCCCTTCCCTCCATTCATGCCCTTGTCCCCTCTCTTCAGCTCCGGAAGCCCCCGATCTCATCTGCATCTAACAAGCCGCTGACCAAGATGCCCAGGGAAGAGCCCACATCCATCACGCGTCACCTCTAGACACCCCCCAGACGCTCCTCCCCGGCCTGCTGACCTGTGGCTCAGGGACACGTCCCACTGCTCTCCTGACGTCTGTCTGCTGTCAGCCTCCTTAGAGGACCACCCGGCAATGAGCGGGTGACGCAGCGTTGACGTCAGAGACGGCGGAGGCTGAAACCTCTCGCCGCTGTGTCCCCAGCTCCTCTCTCGGCAGAGCCGAGTCCTGGCCCCTCCTGGAGAATCCGTCTCGGCTGGATAGGCTTTGGGGTCTTCAGGCTGGACCCTCGGAGGCCAGGCGCCATGGAAGAGCACATGTTCGGGGTTCAGCAGATCCAGCCCAATGTCATCTCCGTCCGCCTCTTCAAGCGCAAAGTCGGGGGCCTGGGGTTCCTGGTGAAGGAGCGCGTCAGCAAGCCCCCCGTCATCATCTCGGACCTGATTCGCGGGGGAGCCGCGGAGCAGAGTGGCCTGGTCCAGGCGGGGGACATCATCCTCGCCGTCAACGGCCGGCCCCTGGTGGACCTCAGCTATGACAGTGCCCTGGAGGTGCTCCGGGGCATTGCCTCCGAGACCCACGTGGTCCTCATTCTAAGGGGGCCCGAGGGCTTTACCACGCACCTGGAGACCACCTTCACCGGGGATGGGACCCCCAAGACCATCCGGGTGACACAGCCCCTGGGACCTCCCACCAAAGCTGTGGATCTGTCCCAGCAGCCCTCGGCCAGCAAAGAGCAGCTGCCCGCGGGGGGTGGGCCCCCGGGCCCCGGGAACGGGCCTCAGCATGCCCAGGACGAGGGGCCGGAAGCCGGCTCGCTGCCCCAAGCCAACGGCCTGGCCCCCAGGCCCCCAAGCCAGGACCCTGCCAAGAAAAGCAGCAAGATTGGCCCCCAGGGCAGCCAGGAGCAGAACGAACTGCTCAGAGAGATCGAGCCCGTGCTGAGCCTTCTCACCAGCGGCCGCAGAGGGGCCGAGCCAGGGGCACCTGCCAAGGCGGAGACGAGAGACACAGGCGTCCAGGTGGACAGGTAAGCCCCCAGCCGCGCCGGAGCGTGTGTGCATGTGTGCACGCGTGTGTGCATGTGCGTGTGCAGTCCCTGAGACTCAACCTCGCAGCCCAGAGCCAGCCTGAGCTATCCCCACACCTGAACCTACCCCCACGTGACAACCCTTGAACCCCAAAAACCGTAATTACACAAGGTGCGCGGGCCTAGGCTGTGGCTCTCACCGCGAGACCCAGAGCCCATCCGTTACCCCGGCTCAGGGACTACTGTCTCCCCATCTCCATCCTGCATAATCCTCCAGGACCCCTGGAAGGTGGTATTTTGGGTGATCCCTGTGTCACGTGTGAAGTGGGGACACCCAACCTGTGTGTCCTTGGAACGTTTAGTTCTCGTCTCCAGAAGAAGGAAGGCGGAGAGTCTCAGACCCACTCGTGGGGTGGAGTGGGACCCTTCTGATGGGCAGATGCTTGGGGGCTCCTGTGGTCCTGGACGTCCACTCCCAGAGCCAGTGGCCAGGATCGGTCCTCAGGGTTCTCCTGGTTCCCCAGGGTGAGCACAGGGGGCCTCTTAGGCGGGAGCCCAGGAACTGCCGCTTCCTGGGCCCCTGCAGAGCTGACCCACGGGAACAGCCCACTGAGGCCTTGAGGGGTCCTCTGTCCACCCAGCAGGTGTCCTGAGTCTGAGTGGGTGGACTTACGTCCTAAAGCAGCTGCAAGATCTGGAACGAGGGTGTCCCCTTGTTTGCTGGGAGACCCTGGAGAGTGTGGTCTGGGCACAACCCCCACCTCCCGGTCTCACTGACCCTCCCTGGTCCTCAACACTGAGGCCACTGGACGGGATGTGGCTTGCGTGGGCACAGCCTCCCGCCTGCAGACAGCTGACCCCCGCTGCGTCCAGTCTTCCACACCCTTGACCGTGACCCCAGGGGTGACTACCAGGATTCCTGGGGGTTCTCCTTCAGCCACACCTGGACCTGCCTGAGCCACCCTGTGTGACGTGAAGGCCCCCCCAGGATCCCGGTGGGGAGCTGCTGCCCTCCAGGCTGCTAATGTGCCAGGGGCACAGAGACCCAGCACGCCAGGAGGGACGTCCTCACCCAGTGTGCAGGGCCCTCGGTGGCTCCGAGCACCACCCAGGGGAGCCCCCTCCTGCTTTGTTTCCCCAAGGAGGAGGCAGGGCCAGCTCCCAGCCTACCGCGTCCGCCACGGCCCTCCCTCTGCCCCCAGCTCAACCTCGCCCGCGAAGAGGCGACCCACTTTGGAGGAGGGGAGATTTGACAGAAAGTCCCCAGGAGGTCCGGGGCCCAGGGAGGCCGTTTGGGGGAGCACTGTAAGGAAGAGTGACCTTCAGGACAGCTCCTCCGCCCCCGGGTCAGTGGCTTTTTGTAAGTGCCCCCCTCTACTCTGGGAAGCTGCTTTGGGGACAGTGCCACCCCCCACACTTGATGGGGTTTGCATCAGTGGAATTCCCAGCTCCACCATAGAGAGAGCTTACAGTGGCTCCTGAGAAAGCACCTGTCCCCGGGTCCCGGGTGGGTCTCCAGGGGGAGGTCACACTCAGCACCAATGGCTGCAAATGCGATAAGCGTCCAGCATCCAGGGGGACAGGTGTGTTGTTTCGGCCACTCCAGTGCCACCAGCTGCGTCACCAAGGCGACGCGATTCCCCACACGGTGAACGCGTCCTCCTGACACAATGGGTCCATCCGTCTTTCCTTGGTTTACCCAGCGTGGGGGACTCAAGGCTATTTTTAAAAGCCCTATTCGTGCAGGAGACAGAGCTGGGATCTCAGCCTGCTTTATATCTGTGGGAAGGTCCAAAGGTCCTGGGGCCATCGGACCCACCTGCCTTGTGTGGGTTTGTCCCTGGGGCTGCCTCTCTCCCCTCTGCAGCACCCAGAGGACCCCCGCCGGCCAGTTCCCAAGCAGGCTGTATTTGGGGTCAGTCTCGGGGCTGGCAGGCCTGGGGACATTCAAGCTCCCAGGTTCACGTAGCTGCCCCCAAATTCTCTTCCTCCCAACCAAGGGTCCCCCCATCCACGCTGTGTCTGGGGTGGGGATTGGCACTGGCATCTGGATGATGGAGGAACGGTCACCAGCTGGCCTGGGTGACAGTGAGGCCCACCAAGCCCAGAGCCGCAGGTCCAGGGCACCCCCAGTCTGTGGCTTCTGGAGCCTGTGAGGACGTGGGACCCTCAGGACGTGGGACTCTCCTGCTCAGCCACCTCCCTCTCTGTTTTCCTCCGGGAAACAGACTTAACCGGCGGCAGCTCTGGCTCCGTCACTCCCACTGCCCTCACGGCCACCCTGCTGTCGGGGTGTGGCACTTATCTGGGGGGAGAAGTGATATTTTCGCTGAAGACCTTTCCCTCCCGCGCCCCAGGAGGAGGGGGCCCTGGCAGGTGGGGAGGGAGAGAGGCTTAAATCCGGGTCCTCTGGCACCTTTAGTCCTTAGGAGCGGTCACTTTAAAAGGCTGCTTGTCGGAGAATATCCAGGTTGCTGGGCTTGCTGCCCTCAAGGAGGGTGCGAAGGAGGCCAAGGTCCCCGGCCCCGCGTCCATCTGGACCGGCAGGTCAGCCTCGCCCTGCATTCTGATCACTGTCCCCCCTTGCGGGGCACTTGGTCAGTGACAACGTACCTTCTTCAGAGACTGTGGATAAATAGGACGTGTGGCTTCAGCTCACTTTTCTCAATGAGGTACCCGAGGCTCAGAGAGGTGAAGTCACTTATCCAGGGTCACACAGCCCCAGCCCCAGGGTGCTGCCCTGATTCTACCTAGAAGTTTCCCTGCAAGTGTCCAGAGTTAAAGGAAAAGGAGGCAGGAGGGGGCCGCTAAAGGAATGGAAGCAGTTTCAAGCCCAGAGAATCCACCTCATGGTGGGGGTGAGAGGAAGGCTGGCCCCATGCTCAAGTCCTTTGGTCAATTATGTCCTTTGCTCTTGACGGTGCCCCTGCCATCCTCCTGATGCAGAAACCAAGCCTCAGAGAGGTATAGTCACTTGTCCCAGGTCACACAGCTTACAGGTGACGAAGCCCAGACTCGGCCCAAGCCCATGCCCCTGACCTCGGCCAGCTTGGTAGATGGTGTGTCCGTCTCAGTGCACGCAGCTGCTGACCAGCCAGTTTCTGAGGAGATCAGGGGATTTTCTCAGAGTTCTTCCAAAGCTGGTAGCCCTGGCTCATGCAGATGGAGACGCCTGAGACCTGGTGTCCCTCGAGACATGGAGCAGGCTCTCCCAGGGTCAGGCAAGGGCCCTTCGTCGTCCTTCTATCCTCCTCGTGAACAAACCCGTCGCCCCGGGTCTTCTCTAGGCCTGTGACCGAGGGAAGCCCTTCCTCCATCTAAGGCCGGTCCCCCTTCGGGATGTCCCTGCTGTCCCGTCAGAGCTCTGGGATCAGCCCACCTGCCCGCCCCCCACCCCCCAAATTTGCCTGCAACCGGGGGCTTCTGACTGTCCTCCATGCAAGGAGCCTCCGTTCTGCCCCCATCCTCTTCAGAGCACAGGGGACCCAGGGATGACCCTCTGCCCTGATCGCCCCCCCCGCCCAGGGCCGTATGAAACAAGAAAGGAAGAAGAAACCAACGGACACTTGCAATCATCTTAGAAAGAGATTCATGCTGTGGAGGAAATAGAACAGTGACTGGAAAGGAAGTGGCTTGGGGTTGGGTGGAACATTAGATCAGGGGTCCGAGAAGGGCAGAAGGGGCCCACCGTGTGGAATCTAGGGAAGGGTGTTCCCGGCAGAGGACACAGCAGGTGATGCAAAGGTCCTGAGGCAGGAGCCAGGTTGGGATGTTCCAGGAACTGAAAGAAGGTCTGAGGGGCTCGAGTTTCAGTGACTGGGGCAGGGGGTGGGCGGTGAGGTCGGACACGTGGGTGGGGCCATCCTACCCCCACCCCTGTCCCCACTTGCTCACCATATCAGCCGGCCATAGCTATTACCACGAAGTACCCGATCTCAGAGGCACCCGTCGCTCTCACAGCCTGGGAGACCTGGAGCCGGACGGGGGGCTCCCTGGGGTGAGATCACATCAGGACTTCAGTGAGGTGGCTTCCCTCCTGGGGACTCTTGCCCTTCCCAGCTTCTAGATTTACATTTTTCACATTTCCACGCTCCTGTGGCCCCATCCTCCAGCCTCAAAACCTCCTGCTTCATGATCCTAGCCCCTCCTCCTTCTAGAGGTCATAGTCCAATCGCCCTCTGCCCTCTGACCTCTTGTAAGGTGTTTTAGTCCGTTTTTTTTTTTTAATTTTATTTTTGTCACTGTGACCAAAAGACCTGTCAAGAGTCACGTAGAGAAGGAAAAATTTATTGGGGTTCATCGTTTCAGAGGTTCAGCCCATGATCAGCCAAGGTGAGGCAGAACCTCATGGCAGGAGAATGTGGCAGAGGAAGAAGACAGCTCAGGGCCTGGCCACCAGGAAGCAGAGAGACATGTGATAACACTTAGGGCCCATCCAGATAATCCAAGACCATCTTCCCATCTCCAGATCCTTCATGTCCCAGCAAATGTATGAAGACTTTTTCCATGTTTTCCTGTATTAGTCCATTTTCTGTTACTGTAACCAAATACCTGAGGCTAGGTGCTTTATGAAGAAAAGAGTTTCCTTTGCTCACGGTTCTGAAAGTTTAAGAGCATTGGTGCTGCATCCTCTCACCCTGGTGAAGACTGCACAGCAAGTGGCATGACGGCCAGAGCCTGTGTGGGAGGAGGTCATGACAAGACAGGAAGCCAGAGAGGGGCGGGGCGGGGCTTGCTTCTTATAACAGCTCTCTTGTGAGCGCTAACTCTGTGTCCCAGAGCACCACCTTAATCCCTTCCCAGGGCAACTCCCTCTATGACATAAGGACCTCCCACTAGGCCTTGTCTCTGAAAGGTTCTACCAGCTCAGCCCACTACCCAGAGGACCAAGGTCCCAATTCTTAAAGATTCCTCCCAGACCTGCCGTTCAAGTTCCTTGGGAAGGTCAGTGGCGGACACACCTGTAGCAGGTCCCGCTCCTGCCAAGTGACACCTTGTGG